TAGACTTAGGCTTGTACATAAGGCTATACAAATCGGCATACATCCTTTCCGATTCGTGTAGCCATATATATAGCCGTACGTAAGGCCGTACGGCCTCGCGTATAGCATCACGTGCAGAGAGACGTAAGGGTGAATGCCCGGAGGAAGCTCCGGGCTCTCCGAGCCAATTAGAAGGTGGTGAAGCGCCAAAAGGGGGGGGTATACATGGAGTGAAAAGGGGGGGGTGTACATGGAGTGAAAAGGGGGTGTACGTCTAGGAATTAGGGGGTGTATGATTAGTAGTCCCCGGATTTTAATCTATAAAAATATAACTGCTTTTTTGCTTTTTCTTCTACTAGCTAGACTAATAACAACTTTAGATTCTAATAGCTTACTACTATATTTAATTAAGAAATATAGGTAAAGGTATACTAAAAAAAAGACTAGAAGCTTTTAATTTTAGATAGCTATAGTTTTTATATAAATATACGCTTTATTAATTTATAAGGGAAAAGTGTATAGTAAGGGGCTTATAGATAGAATTAACGATTTTATATATTAAGAAATAAATTCTTAAGAAATTATAATATATAGCTTAGGGCTATATATACCCCGGCCTAAGCGAGCACGTAACTTATAGAGGCCTTATAAGCTATATAAATTAGAAAAAATATATCTATATCCTATTTTATAGCTATATACTATAGGTGCTCTTATTACCTTATATAATTAGTATAATAAGTATAGAATTTTCTTTACTATATTCCCTTTTTATTTAATATATTAGCTATAGCTACTAGATATTTTTTTCTTCTATTTTCTTACTATTAATTACTTTAATAAACTTATCTAATTCTAATACTAAAGTAAAGGCTTTATATACTTTTAAAAGTAGAACTTCTTTACTAGCTTCTAGCTAGCCTAGAATAAAATATTTACTAAAAAGAATATTTTTCTTTAAATAGGCTAAGGCCGGCCTTATTCTATTTAAACTAAAGGTTATAATAAAAAAAATATAAAGTAGTATAGTAAGGTAAAAGTATAGTATATAGTATATATAGAGCACCTAAGTAAAAGGAAAAAAAAGAAAAAGGTATAGTATATATAGTATATATAGTATATATAGGCAGAAAGAGCAGGTATAGTATATATAGGTAGAAAAAGGATTAATTAAGGCGGCGCCTATAAAAGCGCGCAGTATAGCTATATAGCTAGCTATAAAAAGTAGTAATAGATAGATAATAATAGGGCTTACTATAGAATAGCAGCTAGAGCCTAAAAGCTAAAGTAGTATATTACCTTTTATAGGTATATACTATAGGCTATATACCTATATTTTTATAGGTACTATTCTACCTTACTATAGTAGCAGTAATTCTATAATTTTAACTAAGCTAAATTTAAGCTTAGGCAGCTTTATAGCCTTAGCTTTAAAGTAGAAAACTATTAAAAAAGTAATAAAAAATACCTAAAGGTACTAGCCTTCTAAAAGCTAAAAAAAAAGCTATAGAATAGTAAAGGAAGTATTTATAAAAGAAAAAATAAATTCCTATTATATCTAAGGCTATTAAGCAGCTTTTTAAGTTAAGTAATTTATAAGGGAAAAGTGTATAATAGGGGGCTTATAGATAGAATTAACAACTTTATATATTAAAAGATAAATCCTTAAAAAATTATAATATATAGCCTAGAGCTATATATACTTTAGCTTAAGTAAGTATATAACTTATAGAGGCCTTATAGGCTATATACCTATATAAGCAGGCTATATAAATTAGAAAAGATGTATTTATATTCTATTTTATAGCTATATACTATAGGTGCTCTAGTTATCTTATACTACCCCCCCTTTTAAAAAGGGTTTAACCTAAACCTATATAGCCTTATTAAATAAACTCTATAACTTTATAGGGAAAAATAGAGGAACTAAAAGTACTATAGTAATAGAATAGTTATATATTACTAGCTAAAGCCCTATATAATAGCAGTATATAAGTTTAAAATTTAGGCGCTAGCGGCTAGTATAGGCGCTATTATAAGTGCAAAGCCTAATACTTAGAAAAAGTATAGTACCTATAAAACTTATATAATATTACTATAACTTTATATCGGTAAGTAATAGGTTATAGTAGTCGGCTTTTTAATATATAGTTTACGTTCTCTATATATAGTAGCTACCTAATTTAGTATTACTATACGGCCGAGATTATATTATAGTATAAAATAGTAAGGCTATATAGCTAAATACGGTGTATAATATATATATAGCACCTGTATATATATATAAAGTATTTTAAACTAACCTTTAATTTTATAGTATAGAATATATTTAATAATTACTTAATAGTATAATTACTATACTCTACTATAAAGTTAGGGCAGTTAAAAGGGCTAAATCTAGGTCTATAATAATTGCTGTTATAAA